ATAAGCATGCAAGATATATAAATTATAATAGGTGATTAAAAATGCAGTTGTGATTTTAACAAATTATACCTCATAGGGAAATGGCCAATTGTGTTCAGTTCTCAAAGACTGAAACTCCACGTCCATGACCAAGACTCTTAGCCCAAAAAATTTACAAAAAGGAATACCCCCAGTTTAGATTCAAGCCTCCTTATGTGGGCTTTCAAACTGATTCAATTTTCAATTCATGAGTGACACTTACTGTAACAAATGCTATAGAATGGGAGAATCTAGATAGAATGAAGCAGGATGAGGAAAAGTTGTCTCTACGTCAACCAGCAGCCCAAACATATAGCAGCAAAAAAATGAAAATAGCTTCGGACAACTACTTATATTGGATGAGATATGACTAAGGTAGCGCCACAGTAGGGACAAGTTCAAGCCAAAGAGACACGTCTGGACTGAAATTGTCCCCCGCTGTTTCGGCTGTTAAGTCTCTACCTCCATCTACCTCTCTACATACCCAGAGACTAACATTACTCTGTTTTAAACTATAAGCTTTAACAAAAAGGAAAGTTTTAAGCCTTGCCTTAAAAGTAGACAGCGTGTCTGCATAACAGACTAAAACTTTTTAAAACTAAAAGTTTTTCCACAGGAGAGGAGCCTGATAACTAAAAGATCTGCCTCCCATTCTACTTTTAGAAATCTAGGAACCACCAGTAAATCTGTGTCAAGTGCTCTGTTAGGAACATTAGGAACAATCCAATTTTCAATAGAAAATGGGGCTTGGTTATAAAGGGTTTTATATGTGTAAATACTATTCCTAAAAGTAAGCCAATGAAGAGAAGCTAAGGTAGGAGACATAATTCTCATTTTAATATACATCAGAACACTGGCTGCAGCATTTTGGATCAGCTGAAAGCTTTTAACTACAGTTTGTGAATTGCTGATAGTAAAGAATTACAACAGTCTAACCTTGAAGTAACAAATGCATGGACTAGTTTCTCAGTATCACCCCCAGACAACTGAACCTGCAGCCCACTGCAGTCCTCTGTAGATAGCACAAAACCAAGTCTGGAAGGTTATGCAAAGAGAATATTATCAACTTCTGAGAAAACATAATTACAGGGATCACATACTGAGAAATCCTTGCACCATATAGGAACTGGACCCAGATGGATTTTTTAGGATATACATGTTATACATATAAAATGAACACCTAAAGCAGGCAGATGATCTAAGCAGAGTGAAGCACAGATATGACTTATGTTTGCTCTTTTCACATGTCAATTTTTCTCATGTAGCAATCAGCCTGAAAGGATCATTTTTCTCTTCTTTTGAAGTCAAGCTTTATAAAGTATTTGGCTGCTGCTCAACGGCGATAACAAATTAACCCCTTTGTGTGAAAAGAGGATATTTAAGCAGTTTGAAATATCCTTACAGCCAGTGAAGGAGGCTGCCGTCTCTGTAAATTCTGCCAGCAAACACCTTGGCCATATGGATGTATTTAGGTTCAGACTTTGGAAAAATATGGAATACTTAAAGCTAAATGTAAGCAGAAATATTGAGAAGCCTAACTTCCCCCCAAAATAATATCAGTGATGAGAACATTTTACTCCAAAAACTGCGGTGCTGATTTTTCCAAAACAACCTGGATGTGTTGTAAAAACCTTCTTTAACAACAGAGACTGAGGTATCGGCCATAAAACAAGCCATCCGCTAACAAAGATGGCTGTTTTTAGCAGCAGAGAGCTCATTTGCAACTTTGGGAATTGTGCCTCCATGTGCCAAGCAGCCTTGTGTCACTCTGGGGACCCAGAATAAGGAGAAGGAAACAAGAAGGAGCGACAGTAAGAGAGAAAAGCAGAGGCGCAGCAAAAGGTAGAGAAACACTGAAGGATGGAACGACTATACAAAAGAAAAGAATGCTTTACCCAAATCTCATTTGTTATGTACGCACACACAGAGATACATGTGTTTCGATGTGCATCCTCTGAGCGGGATTATACCATCTACCTTAGTGTAGCAAAACACACAAGACTGATTGTAGTCTGCTTATATAAGAGACATTTAACCACAAGAACGGTTTAACACATAAAATATAGGAATAAAATAGGAACCAGTTCTAACCTGATATTTAATTCAGGTTTCTGAAAGTTTTAAGACAAGCATCTAGAGCAACCTCTGCCTGAATGATATAGGAGCTTGAATTCTGCAGATTGGAAAGCCTTCAAAGACTTTCAGCTCTTATTGCTGCAAGCAGTTTTTTTAGTTTATGGTAAATTAAATATAAATATGTGGCTTAATTATCTTAAAGCAAGGTCTGTTAACCACTTGGCATCATTTCAGCTTAATATTTCTAGTGGAGTGGATCTTAAAGCAAGATTTATTTTGCTCTTTTAAATCAACATTTTAAAAGTAGAGATGGACTGATAAATAACTGATAGCTAAAACGCCTTGCAGTAATAGTCATACTCCTTGGATTTTCACATTTTGTCACATTGAAATTAAACTCTTCAGTGCATGTTATTTAGATTTTTGTCATGAACCAAAACCAAATACTTCATAAATCTAAAATGGAGGGATTTTTATTTTTTTTTATTATTTATATTGGGCCAGCCTTGAATATTAGAACTACCTTCTGCTGCAGTCATAGTTCCAAGTCTTTTAGGACACAGCCATTTGAATAAATTGTATACCAAGCCAAAGTTACAAATGATATTTATTATTTGAAATTAAAACATGAAAAAATGTTTTTTCTGCCTTGAATAAAAAAAATAAAATAAATGCAATTACATTAAATGCCTTTTATTGCAGTAAAAGTAGTGACAAAACATAACAAAAACAAGGGTATATATTTTAGAAAAATATATCTGACCAGCCAAATCTTTCTAATATTTGAACCATTTCAGTTTGAGGCTACCTGGGAGAAATGCAGTCTTACCAATATCAGTGGCACATTTACTGATAAAGGATTTGTAGCACTCTAAAGTTAAAATAAAATACTTATTTCTTTTGAAACTGTTCTGTTCTCACACAGGCAAGCTTGATTATTACTTGTGTACATCCTTTCATTCAAATTGACAGGATACAGGCAGATGATATGAAAACCCTATTAGCCCATTGCCATGTCCATTAGAACCCCTGGCTTACATTAACAGCTAGTAGAGAGTTAACCACACATATAGCAAAGTTGAAGTGAATGCAGAAATTGTATGGGAGGCTAATATCATAAAATCAAATACCTCTTCAAAATTATGTCACAACATAGGTACATTACTGTTAACGATATTCCAATAAGAATTTGTACCATCCTTGTTTGTAGACTTAAGTTTAGGGGTTGAAAAACAAAAGAAACTAACTCATATCTGGCCACTAAAGGGTAGCAAAGAAAGACAGTGGTCCACCTGCAGGTTACCTGTAACTTAACTGAGCCTAGCCTCTTATAAAGATTGTATACTTCTTTTTTCTTTTTCTCTTAATGAGATTGAGGGCTGGACGCAAGTCACCCATGGGCCAGAATCTCAGGTTGATTGCCAGTTCAGTAGCCCTATTTTAAGGCATGTCTTTGCCTGCAATGAAAGATTTTTTTTTTTCCAATTTATGCCAAATGGCTAAATCTTGGTCAGATTAGATGGAGATAATCTGTATCATCAATTTTTAAGTCATGCAAACAATTTGAAATTAGATTTAGTGACTGGAAAATCTGGGTGTGTCTGAAGGATAGTTGTCCAACCAAAATGTTAACTTCTGCCATCATCTCCAGTCATTTGCAGCCTCTAAAATGTTTCTTTTTAGGATTGTCCCATGTGTAGCTCCCTATCCATCCTACTTCAAGCTGATGTGCAGTTTTTCCACCTCGCTGCATGTTGGCCGGAAAGTTTTGCCTCAGTCTCATCTCACCAGAGAACCATCCTCCAGATGTTTCTATACAAGGCTTGCGATAAAATTAAACAGGATGTCATATGACTTTCTTTCAACAGTTGATTTTGCTTTCCACTCTTCAATAAACACATCATTCATGGAGAGTATGAATCATTACTGTTCCCTCAAAAGCTAGTACCACGGCTTTTGGTCCATCATAACTTCAGATTTATGATGGACTTTCCTGGAGAGGACCTGTTGTGCTAGTAAACATTTGCCTTTTGTATCTCTGCTTCTTGTTGTATGTCTGCTTCTGTCTCCTTGAACCTAAGTAGGCCTTAATAGAAGGTCACTCACACTGAGCCTGGTTCTGCTGGAGGTTTCTTCCTATTAAAAGGAAGTTTTTCCTCTCCACTGTCATTGCATGCATACTCCATGTAAGGGATTGCTGAATAGTCAACAACAAAATTCAAGCAAATACTGTCACCACAGGTTTACAAAGTTCTCCTTCAGGAAGAGCATGTCTTGCATGTCAATCACTCAGTGTAATCTGACAGAGACTTTTAACTAATCTGACTCTAGGATCTGATGGAACTGTTTTGATACAATATAAACAAGGTGACCTGAAGTAAATTCATATTTATACTTAAAAAGACTTATACTTTAATCTTTAGAATGCACATACATTTTATTTAAATATTTTTGTCTAACAAGCTGAAAGATAATGCTTGGATTCAAAGAAAGCTAGCACTGGTCAGAAGTTCCCCTTTCTCGGTTTTGTGTAAAAGTTTATAGTTATGTTGCTTTGTAGTCATAAAAGGTGTGCTTACACTTGTTTACACTTGGGGAAAAAAAATATATACCAGGTGAAATAAAAAACTTCAAAACTAAGATCATTTTGCAAACAATTTATCCAAAGCAGCAAACTTCATTCCATGGAAAATTAAAAGCAACATCATGTATTTATGTATGTATGCATTGCATACCCTAGTCTTAAAGAAAGCACGTCAAACTGCAGGCTGTGCTGCTTTTTGAAAGTGGTTTAGTTTTTATTTATCCATAAATATTCAGCCTGGCTGTTTAAAAATCTGAACATTCAGCACAAAGCAGTAGCAGAACTGCTGCTCTCAGGAGGTACTTGGTTGCTTCCTCCTTACCTGTGATGTTGTAGAAGTAATTGAAGCAGTTTAGGTTCAGACTACATGGCTCTTTGTCAGACAACTCCGGGCATTGCCTGCCCACACCAGGGTATCGAAGGGTGTATGCTGTCCGCACTCGGCTGTTGTTTCTGGTACAGGGCTGAAATGGATGAAAACATAAAATGATGAAACAGAGAGAAATAGAAGTAATCTTCAAGAAAAAACCCATAAAACCAAAGTTGAGCTGTGTAGCAGAGAAGACAAAACACATGATTTCTGATTAACTTTCTCAACCATTAGGGTACATTTAAAACCTCCTTATTCCTGTTCCTTATTAGGGTGTCTAAACATTAAGACAGTTCATCAAACAGTCAGTTTTCTCCCTCTCTCTTTCCAGAAAGGAATCAGATTTTTCCAGCTCGAAATCACAGGGAAGCTGAAAAAGATATTCTGCTCAACCAGCGAACCATCAGATTCTCTGGGTTTAAGGGAAGGAAAACAGTGAAAGAAAATGATAGCTTTCTGAATGGCTCTAAAGCTGAATGGATGAATAAAACATGTGAGAAATTCCACTAGTGCCACTGCAGACTCCACGTTGAGAACGGAATTGTAGAAAGTTAGAAAGTTACTCTGTGTTTTTAATTTTTTTGGGGGGTAGGTGGTGAGGGGATTCGGGTGAAGCCAATGAAACCATTTCAGGCGCTGAACATGATATTTTAGCAAGTTGTTTAGAAAGCAGCATTTTTAGCAACAGGTTCTTAGACATCTCTGGTCTTCCCAAAATTGCATGGAGTTGACACCGTCTTCAGAGTAATTATTTGACTACTATCTACTGTACCCAGACTGTAAATCCGTATCAAGTGGCGAAGGTTCACCTAAAACAGCTAGGTGAATTTAAGTATGGAAAAAAGAAAAATGGTAACATAACACTAAAGTAAGATACTCTGTAGCACATAATGTATTTTAAACATTTTATCCAAAAACAAACATTCACAAAAAAAACTTTAAAGCTCTGAACCACATCATTAGATTAACCAACATCACAACAAGGAAAGAGAAGGCAAATATCAACAGCAGCTTTAAGAGCTTAAACAAACAAAATCCATTATGTTATTAACTATGTTATTAGGAAGACCTTGTGTCTACATTTTAGACTTCATACAGGAGGGAATTTCATTCTACTTTATTTTTAGTTTAGCTAAACTTTGGTAAAATTAGCTTTGATTATTCGTTTTGATCAAAGAAGATTCTACGATTTTTTAATTTGGGGTTTGTGTTTTTCCTTTATTTTAATACATGTTTCTCAGTAAAACAGGTTTCAGAATTCAGTACATTTTCCTAAGAAAACAATTATTTGAATATTTGTGGCTGTCTGCCAAACCAGGCACATTATTTCCAGCTTACATATGCAGGTGTGTGTGCATCATTACATGTGAGCTGGAGACCTGCTTTGAAGTTGTGAGTCTTTATCATACATCATCTGCCTCCCTCGCTGAATGCACACTGAGCACAGAGTAATATAGGTGATGTATAAGCCACTTTGTCTTGCTTCCCCAGTTCATGGATCCCCTTTATTCCTCCTTGGTGGACTAGAAATAACCTGTTGACAAAAATTCACACACTCCTCATCATAATAGAGTACAACTAAGCTTTGTATCCTCAGCCTCAGGGAAAATATTTGAGACAAGAAAAAGACATCAAGATAAATCTCAATGGGCTTGCCAGAAGTCCAAGTCCTCTCTATATCTGCTCTGCCTGGTAGCTGATCTGTTGCATTTTCCCCTCCTTATCTGGATTCAGCTCGCTCACCATGCTACAGCGACTCCAGGGGCCCCAGTCGTTGAGGACACAGTCCTCTGGGCATGGCAGCCGGCTCTCCCTGGCCCCTAGGGGCATCTCCTCCGGGTCACAGAGGTAATCCTCCACAGCCTCAGATGGGCCATCCACAGTGTTCAGCATGCACCTGTGGAACCAGTAAAAAACAGCAGTCTTTTCTATTTTACGTATAAAAATGATAGAGATTTTAAATAATTAGAAATGTATTTGTATATACCTGACTTTTCTGGTCTGGACACCCTCTCCACAGTTTTCCTTCAGATCCACATTGCTGACCTTCCACACACTCCACGGCTCAGCGACCCAAACATACTGTGTGCAGTCACTCTGACAGGGTACCACCTCATACACCTAAGAGCAAAGGTCACTTTTAACTGTGCTTTTAGTTTTTAAAGTTTCACACTGTATGAATAAGCTAAAAAATATAATATGATTTATTTTCTTTATGCCGTTATGGTGGACTGTGGACATTTGTCAGCAAAGCTTAATACACAGTGACGCTTTGACTCAGCTCACTGAGATTTAAGCTCCATCCTTACTGGGATAATTCTGAAAAAGAGCCTGTTTAATGCTGCTCCAGTATGCTTCAGAACTTTGTTCATTTACTCTTAAATAATCACATCTGTACAGTATGTGTGTATCTGTCATTGACCCACTGATGCGGGTGGCATTTTACTTCTGTGCTAGACAGCAAAGAGCAAAGCAGAGCAGCTCTTACCTGGGCCTATGGCAGCAAGTCACATCCAGCAAGCATTGCGGTGGATCAAAAAGAGACAGATGGATTAATGAGGATTAGCCAACAGCTCATAGAGCAGAAGTTATGATTAATGCAACATTTTAGAAAACGTAACCAGAAAAGCCTCTGGCGTAAATACCTGTGTGTACTAAACAGACAAAAATGTGAGGCTGAAATCAACACAACTCTCAGTATGAATCCATTGATACTTCAATGCTCTGGATGGCAGCTCTTTCTTTTTTGGCAAATATAGGGATTCTCAGAGATTTACTTAAATGTTATTTAGTTGCAGGACCAGCTGCTTTTCCTGATTAACAAAAGCCGGAGTGAATCTCATATGAGCAGAAGGGAAAGGACAACTCTGCAGACTTAAATTCACTGTTCATTAATCATGACTCCCTCTCATAATGTACCAGAATTTATGAATAAATAATAAGCAATACTAAGCTGAAGAAGACTTTTTTTCTTCCTATCAACAACGCCAGACTTCTTGCATCACTAATGAATAACTCATGATGTCTCCACACCTGGTTGACGTGGTCCAGTTTTGGACATGGTCGGCCTCCGTTGTACGGCTTCTCTCGAAGCCACTTGGAGCGGACTTTCACTCCACTTCCGCACGACTTGCTGCACCGGGACCAGTTGGACCACTCACTGAGTTTACAGTCGGATGGGCAGGGAATGATGCACGCTTCCTCAATATAACCTAATAGAAAAAACAAAGCATAATTTTCTTGTTAATAGTTGGTTTCATTCTTTTTCTCACTAAATTGCTGAGTACTATCAAATGAAATGTGGTCAGTGAAAGTACTATTCATACTTTCAGCTCTAGAGTTTTAGAAATTAGATTAAAAAAACTAAATATCTGTTATTTTTACCATTTTATTTATCATAATCAGAGTTCAAATTTACCAAAACACAAACCATATTCAAGTCTTGGTTCTTCTTTCCAACACTCCTTCCTTCTTTAAGGTTTACCGACTTTTGTTTCTACACATATCTTTTAAGGTGAAATCACATTGTTTCAATGATGGGGTCTAAACTTTGACTGGATCAGTGCCACAACCACATTTTCCATTTTAGCCAATCTATTGTAGATTTATAGCAGTGGTTAAGATCATGATGATGTCATATAGACTGTCTCACATTATATATAAATATATAAATAAATTCACACTAGTAATTCAAACAAAAAAAAGTAATAATAAATAAAATTTTACTAAATTATAATTTACTAAACTAAAATATTGTTTTTGTATGCATGTAATGGTTAACATATCAAACAAGCCTGCAAAGAGGCTGTGAAAGTGTGCATCATTTTGCAATAGGATATTTTTTCTCCCACGGTTTATTAAAACATAACCATATATGAAACATGGTTTAATTTTTTTTGCTGTTACTTTTGTTCACAGCACTTTGAGATAGACTAAAAGGTGCCCTATAAATATAGTTTACTGTCCTAATCATCATTCTTTTAATAATGATAATCATCTGCAAGTGCATGGACTGCTTTGAACCTTATCTGTATTTTACATCACGTCTAAACTTCCTGTGGGACAAAAATCTTAATTGGTCAAACCGAAACAGTTTGTACGTCTTAACTTTGCACAGTACTCTTTGTAGATCCCATGCAAAAACACCCACTTATGCACATACTAAAAAACAATAAAAAACCCCTGCAGATAAAATTTAGCACTTCTTCTTACGTAGAATATTTAAGGATCAAATCCCAAGCAAGACCTGTAGAATCTATGTTTAAGCTTTTGGATATTTTGCTGTTTCTATTGGTAATTTACCATAATTTTACTGCCAAGAAACATCGTGTAACCTTAAAAACTACTGAAATCTTCCCATTTGTGAATAGTTTATCTCACTGTAAAATGTTGTTTAAAAATGACTTTGCATCTCGTCTAAATTTGCTCAGCAAATTGTTTCTTTAAGGTTAATGCTGATTCCTACACTTTTGCACAGATAAAATAAACTTACAACACCTCTGCTTTTTAAATGGCCGCTCCTGCTTCTGATTGATTTTAACTACCCACATATTTATCTTAAATCTAAGTTTTATAAATGCTGCTTTTGCATCTGAATACTAAACCCTGATACATGAAACTGTAGGACTAAAAGAGGGTGTACTTTTGTTACCATGGTTATAAACTGAATCCAGCTGTTTGAACTTGTAACCCTTGTTTCGTGTTTTAATCAAAATCGATGTCTTGATTTTTAGTCAGTAAAACAGCAATCTACACTCACCGGCCACTTTATTAGGTACACCTGTCCAACTGCTCGTTAACACTTAATTTCTAAGCAGCCAATCACTTGGCGGCAA